CATGATGTTTAGGTGGCATGATAGGGAACTGAATTTTAAACAGGAAATGCGCTTACCGTCCCCACGACTGAGATAGCCGAAGCCAACTAGGATTCTACCGTACAACTTCGAGACCGTGGTCTATCCTGTTCCGCGTGCTCCTACAAAGAGCTGATTGAGGGAAAATCAGAGGGGATTTTCCTCGGGCAGCTCCCGCTAGTAAGTCACCTTAACAATGCCGATCAGACGCTCGACACACTGCTTGACATGCTCAAGCCCGGTGTATTCACGCCGCTTGACGCAGGCGGCGCGCTTCCTAGCTGCCACGTACGGGTTGGGCCCGATAAAATCCTCCTATGCAAAGAAGAAGTAATTGGGTGACAAGGAATAGCGCTTTTCTCGAGACAGATGACGTACCTAGCGATGTCAGATCCACGTGAACAGATTCTCGACCGCATGGGCGTTACCGAAGCCAGCGAGTTGGCGGATCGCGATGCGCATGTAGAGGCCATCCAATACCTTGTCCACGTGCATACGCCCATTGTAGTGCCAGTTGATATTATCGACCAGAATCCGCCACAGCTCGCCATCGCCAAAGTCGCCAAAGGTCATAGTATAGGGGATGCGGCTCTCTAGTCCCGGGTTGTGTTCGAAGAAAAAACTCCATCTCGTCCTTGTAGCCAACACAGATGACGATGATCCCCCCGATATTCTCCTCCATTTCGGTGAGGATGATGTCCAGAACTTGGCAGCCCACACCATCCACATATGGGCCCGTCAGTTGGTAAGCCTCATCGACAAATAGAACACCACTACCATCATTGTAAGAGCCGTCAGAGTCGCCGGAATCATATTCTCGTAGTATGCCCTTAATTAGTTCCTTCATGCCATAAGCGCCCAGAGTGGCCGCCCCGATGCCGGACGCCACTTCAAGCTTCGCAGAAGGAATGACCTTCAATTCGTGAAGGAATCCAGCATATAGGCGGGCGATAGTGGTTTTGCCTGGAAGCGAGACGCTGGTTAATGGGCGCTACTATGACAATCATAACCTGGAAAATTGAACCACTCTTTCTTGGTCCACCTGAGGTTTCCGTCGGATCTTGCGCCTTGCACACGGCCACCTTGGATTTGATGTCAAGAAACTGTTGCCTAACTTCCTCCAGGCCCTGGTATGGAGGGCCATACATATATAACATGGACAATCCTATCTTCCCCCCGCTTTCCTTTTTAGTGACCGTGGGGTCCGTGTAGGGGTCCTTACTACACTTCTTGCAAAGGATGCTAATTGGGGCTATGCTCACCGTGAAAGTCGTCGTAGAAACCGAAAGAATTAGTTAAAAGACTGTAGTTTTCCCCAGCCTGAGCCTGAAGCTGTCTCCAATACCCGCAACATACACGCTGCGAGCCTCTCCGTCCCAATACGATCGTAGAAGACACTGTCGGGTGAGAGAACGCTGTAGCGAATTTGTTCGTAGTTGTCTTATTATTTTTGTACGAGGTCCTTACAAGCGAACTGCCCCCCTAGATCGTGGTATATGGTAGGCTCTAGACTCCTTGAACCGCACACCGATCTACATCATAATGTCAAATGAACCGAATTCCACCGACTGGATATCGGTCGTGTCCTCCCTGGCCGCGGCCGTTATTGGCGTCATGACTCTGCTTACCGTCTATGTCGGTGCGATGCAGATTCTCTCTGAAAACCGCATCTACCGCCACGGTTTGTCATGGATGTCTCTTGGTCCTTGGCAAGCCATGGTAGCAAAGCGAACCCTCTTCGGTCTCCAGAGGCAAATCTCAACGCCGAGAGTGAGCATCAAGGTGCTCACACAAATGAAGTGGGACCCTCTTAGACTGACGTTCCCCCTCGGCTTCCCAAGAAGCCAGGATGCCGAGAAGGCAGACAATGTCCAGGCCAATGCCAGCTGGGTGAATTTCATACAAGCGCTGGATCTCTCACCGACCGAGAGGCGGGGCGAGTACGAGATGCAGGATGCGTCCGAGCTTGTCAATGGCATCGTGCCCATGCACTGGACTGGCAAGGATCTCGTCAGCGTATGCTCCATCCTAGGCTTCCAGTCACACGAAGCCAAACCGAGCTTCTCGTTACCCATGCTGCTCCCGATGCGGTGGTCGGGCCCTCTGGGCTGGCTCCAGTTCCGCGCCAGCGCCAACGGCTGCGTGGCTGAGTTTCGCCGCCGCAGGGAGCTACGCAACCAGATCTCAGGCGACTCGCACGACTACTATAAACGCCAGCCTAGCCCACCATGTAATCCAGATGCTTTTCGGTCCCGGCTCTGGAATTCCATTGGCGGGTTTGCGCTCGACAAGAGCGAGGCACTGTACCTCTCCGGGCCCGACGGCGAGGAGAGCGAGGAGGAAGATGGGGACGAGGAGGAACCGACGGATGAGCAATTGTCAAGGGAGCTAGCGTCTAAGGACATGCGGTCTCCCCCCAGTGCCGTGATGCACGATAAGATGGACTCGTCCGGCAGGAAGCAGATTCTTTGGGAATGCGATGGTATACTCTCCACTGTATCGCACGGCGAGCTGGCCTACAGCCAAGGCCTGAGCATTCTGGACTGCTACGAGTACGACTGCAAGTACACCATGGCCAAGAAAATCGACAAAAGCATATATATCTACCATCTTGGTGATATTTATATGAATAAGAAGTTGCTCGGCTTGATGAAACGGGCCCTCTTATTACTGCGGCCGGACGGCTTCTACTTCTCACCTACCACGAACCTAGATAAAGACCTAGGCCAAGCTTATAAACATATCGAGAAACTTTCCAAGGAGCGTGAAAAGATTTTCCCTGAAGCATTTATTGAGAAAATGGCAGGGAAGAAGAAGACCCCTCTAAAACAGGCCGTCAGCACCTCCTCCTCTTCGCCTAGCGAAGAGTTAACAAATAAGGGTACCAACGACGCCACGAAATGCATTGCTAACGCCATGAATCTCTGCAACGAGCTCCAGGAGATGCGCAAGAAAAGGGTTGAAGGCTTCTCCGTCGACGACATGCAACTCATGGCAAAGGCAGCCGCGTTGCTTCTGCCAGATCCCGGCGAGCAAGACCTCGTGTGGGCCATTTTATATTATCCGAAAATATCGGCAGACGTGCTCAAACAGCTTAAAATGGAGGACGTAGAAACATTCTTTGACATCGCCGTGATCGTCAAGGATCACGTTGTTTACTGCGGTCCCTGGGTGTGGGCCGACGGTGAGCCAACAGCACCAGACGATAACACATGGTATCGTGGCTACTACAATATCCCCTTCATTGCGGACAACATATTCACAGGCAAACAATTAGTCGCAGCCATTACAAAAGTCTTCCTGACGTATTACTGGATTGACCTGAGATGGGTCACGGATGTGGTGGCATACGATACGACGATGCCGCAGAGTGTTTTTATGTGCTAAGCGCCGCCCAGTGCCCGTACGGGGAGTTAGTAGATGAAGATGGAATACTTAGGACAGGTCAATTAACTTGCAATATTCAGCCTGCTCGTGATTTTCAGATTTTATGTCTTGCCGGGTGGGGGGGACAGGTTTTTAAAGTGTAAGCCCCCTATCAAAATACCTACCTACCTCTCAGTAGACGACTCTGTTACCACTACTAAGACGGACTCTCAAAAATCTTGGACTTACAAGCCTTCTCCACTCGGAGATGAGGATATCTTACTAGGTCCACTTTCGCGTGAGGTAGATTAATCTGACACGAAGGAAATTGATCAGTTGATCAGGCAAATACGTTAAGGAAATCGATGAATAAATTCATGAAATACCACAAAAAAAAAACACTGTCGAAAGTGAATTAATCCAGTCCTATGTTCTAATACGACCACTAATAAGTTTAGGCTACATCAGCACTACGTTGTTATAACTGATCAACAAGGTAGGTTAAGAGGAAGCTCATACACATTAGCTACTCAAGTGTGCAACCGCATTTCATTGGCATGATAAAAATTAGTAAATATGCTTACATATCTCTTATGTTCCAAAATTGAGATTTTGATGTAGTAATTATATACTATGATCTTGGCGGCTACCGAAGGCTACTCTCGTCAAGTATCAGAGCTGGTTTAGGACATCAGTCAAGTATAAAATATCTAAGATGCTCGTGGTCCGTGTGTATAAAGAGTGAATAGAACGGTTAACTCCTAGAAGGCTAATTTGGGCATCTCTCTTCATCAGTACCACATTTGGGCATACGCGGTCCAATAATCACTCGACCCTCGTTCATGGGGCCCGACAACATTGTAGGTAGACATCAGTTTTCGATGTTAGAGGAGATCCTACCATCAGGCAATCTAGGACCCCTCTGTCTGTTTGTTTAATCTATTGATTCTACCTGCAGGCGTCTTCTGGCCCTCTAACTCCCTTATATCCGATCACTGCATGCAGTTAGTCATGAGGTGCCTCTTTATCTCAAAGCGGATGAGACGCCTCATTAAACAGATCAAACAGGGGACAGTTTTCAAAAATAAGCGAGCCAGTCAATTGGGGGCGAGTTTTGTTGTATTCTTGTAAGAGCGCGCGTCTTGCTGTCTCTCTGAGTGGTGTCCTAGCAAGCAGTATGGCGAGTTCTCAGGGGCTGAGCAGACTGCTTACCCCCTTATACATTTAACCCATGTAGCTCACGGTGTTTTATACAAAAGTTTATACGACAACAAGTTGTCGACTGTATGGCTCTACGTGGCGAATATCGGTAGGCCGTAGTAGTGTCGTGATAGCAAAGGTATCTACGTATAAGGGACTTTTTGGTTGCCAGAACCTCTAATTTTGAAGCTTTTATACTATCACTTTAATATTCGTACGCAAAATCGAGGAAGCATTAATCCTAACCTAGAAGTATTCATGGAAATCAATAACAATTTCCCTCATTTTCAAAGAGTAGGGACTAAAATATCCTATTCTACTCTATCGCTACTTTCAATTTCATGGCCACAACATGATTAGAAGTTAGGATATGTGTCTGGGTTACGGCGCCACATTCCATAACAAATAACCATCGTGGTCGGTTAGCTCAGTTGGTTAGAGCGTCGTATGTCTTCTCCACAACTCCCACAAGTCCGGTAAATACATACTAATCCATCACAGGTACTAATACAGAATCATCTGTACACTGTAATGCGAAGGTCATGGGTTCGACCCCCATACTGACCAGACTCTTTTTTTAAACTTTCCTCCTCTTACTATAGGTCTTGGCAGCTAGATGAATGCAAGACGTTGGTTGAGTTTTTATTCGACGAGAAAGTGTCAACAGTTGGAATCTTTTTTAAGAAGGCAACGGGTGTATTGACCATATGATCAAGCATGCTGCTCCCATTTTCCTAGTTTCAGATGTAGCGGATGTTTAAGTGATTTTTTATGTATTCTCTAAAGGAAGCCTGTGCAATCAGTTCGAGAGCAGTGTGACCCTCTATCTTGATATTCAACAAAATTCACATAACAACTGCTAGTAAAAGTACACCAATATATCGAGGAACGCGATGAGGAAAGGAATTGAGCTTGGCCGGCCTAAACGCTGTGCTAAACCTATGCCGATTGATTTCACGTTCGAAACATATCTAGATAGATTATAATCACGCAAAGTCCTCTTACTACTTGGGAATCTAAGCTAATTGACTTAATTGTCACTTTGAACATGTCCAGAAATCTGTAGTGTTTTCAGAAAATAATTCAACTCTATACCGCAATTCTAGACAATAGTCAAAGCTTAAGCAGGAAAAGGATAATGATGACAATAAGGCTGCGACTGCCTTCCTATTCTCAGAGACTAAAGCTCATGAGATTTGAGGACAGTGTTACTGATTTCACGTAAATAGAACTATACTAACAAGAAATGTTGAATTTGAAGAGGTAGGCAAATATTACTTCGAACGAAACTTTATCGGATTTAGTTCAATAAATCAAAAATCAGCAACGCGTAGGATTTAATCTAGCAGTTAACAGTGGCTCGTTGTACTTCGTAAATACAACCCTGTTTTGCTATTAATGGCTTGGTAAAATTCCCTATGGCGAATTATTTACTCAACTAACCTCTCATCCAGCACCGAGTTATCTAAACTCTTAGTGGGATTTTAGATGAATGTCGTGAATACGATACATAATTATCCCATAATAACCGAGGAATTAATCTTCGCTTAAGAAAACATCAATCATGTTACAGTCCCAGAATTGATAACGGTCTACTTAGTAGTGATGTGATATAGTGTTGCAATTCTATTCCGTGACAACTCAGCAAGCACCCGGGGAATTCTAGTAATACACGTTCCCACTCAAGTCATACTTATACAAATTGATCTTGGACACGAGGTTGGTTATTCAGCCGCAGCTGAAATACTCCATCCGACTCGATCCTTCCGTATAGAGACTCGCTTATTTTTGCCATTTCTAGATCTGATTGATAAGATAATTGGTTCCAAAACCGCAGCCCTACACTTCACTGATTGGTATGACATTTATTCGGCCACCGGCTACGCTAAGTTGTTTGGCCAAGACACTTAACACCTCCTTTACTATGGCTACAGCATGGTTTGGGCAAGGATCAAAGTATTTCCCGAGAGATAAGCTTTGAACTTCCACGGGTTAATTAACCGTATGCCAGGGAATTAGTGCTTGGCAGACTTCACCAACCATTATGCTTAACGCTAGCCAGTCAACATTTGTTGAGTACTCGTCCAGACTTATAACGCCTCTGACGAAAGCAAAATGGTGCTGAAAAGGGAGTAAATGCAAGTAGCTGGTTAGGATGTTTAATATATTGCCGTGTCCAAACGGCCTAGCTTCCCGAGTTTCCTAGCCTATCGTGCAGTATTGCACTCCGAACCCTCAGATCGGCGCATATATATCTCACGAGCTTCTCCTTTCGTCCAATCTAACTCTGCAGGACTATGATGACAAGTAATCGAACCAGGATATCTTGACTAGGGATGATTTGACTTACTGTGCGCTCGGAGCCCGACGAGAAAAAAAAAACATGGCTCACGATCATAAAGGATTACACAGTGGCGAAGTGTATATATTCGAGGCTTCCTACCGATACCTAGTAGCACGCATCAACACTCGCTACCATCCCACCGTCATTTCCAGCTAGCAGAAAGAGAGCGGGCGCGTCAAAAATGGCAATCCTATCCACCCTAACCACCCTCCTCGCCCTAGGCGCATTCGCCGCCGCCGCCCCCACGGACGCACCGCAGCGCCGCGACGGCGTAAACGGCGACATCGCGCAGTTCAGCCTCGGCTGGAGCACGTGCGCCGGCACCGTCGCGGCGCTCTCGAGCGGCTCCCACCTCGAGTTCCAGTCCGACGGGAACCTGGTGTTCTACTTCAGCGGCGGCATCTCGTTCAACTCCGGCTTTTCGGACCCCAGCCTGCCCTGCGCCAACGCGTGCAACTGCCGGCTGATACTGCAGGGGGACGGGAACCTGGTCACGGTGAGTGAGATCGGGCTCTGAGAGGGAACGAGCTATGTGAGTGCTGGTAGTGTTGGCTAACTGGGATAATAGTACATCAACTACGGCCAACCGAACCAGGTCGTGGGGTGGAACTCAAACACCGCGGGCGTCAACCCCAAGACCAAGACGACGGCGAGCTACTTCGAGGTCTTCGGCAACGTCGTCGCCGTCAACAACTTTCCCTTCATCGCGGTCGTGGACTCCACGGGCCACGGGTTATTCAGCACAGGTGGGTTCAGTTTTCCGTCTTCCGTCCTAGCACAGGCCTAGGAGATGAGCACGATGATCACATACCTACCTATATTTATCCAGTAGTAGCGCTAATCATCATTTCCGTAGAACTCGATGTGATCCCTGGTACTGGGCCCGGGGTGTGGTGCCCGGGGAGAACTTTGGGGCAGTGCGGGCTTCCGGATGGCTTCTAAGGTTAGGGAGGCTATATAGCCATAGATTATTGTATATTTTAATCAAATTAGATCATTGCGGCGATGTCTCGTAGCACTTGCAGGAGAATCCATCTTTTCATCAAATAAAAAAAAGATGTGCCGGGAAAACAAGGCCGTCAATCGCGTCCATGATGAACGGTGAATTCTAAGTCAGCCGCGATAGAAGAAAAAGGAAACCTTGCATTTGTAGATTAAATACCTTTATCAAGACGTAAGGTACCTAATAGTTAGGTAGGTATTGCGTATCTATTGCTTAGCGATTCAGACCGGTAGGTTTGAGCTTGGGGCAAGCGCCAACAGACTGAAATGGCCACCATTATCGTGGTCGCGAATGAACTCTTTAAGCGCCCCAATCCCTTGATCGGAGAGAAGGTCATCTCCGGCTAGCAAACCTCTGTCCACGGGGCCATTTCGATCGCCATCCAAGATGAAGAGGTTATTTCCGGTATGCGACTTCACAAGGCAAACGTAATGAAAGTCGACCTCCTCTTCCGCGTTCTCGGGAGCCTCAGTGTCCCCTATTACCGCGACCGCGTTATATTTCGACTCTAGTTCGGTATCATTTTCCAGCATGGTTGCGCAAGCAGCGGGATCTAGAGAAGCGCACTTTTCTAGCAGGCAAGACAGATGAGACCCTGGCTCTGCAGTTGAATTAAAAATAAGTGTCAGCCCCTAATCCAAGGCCCGGGCCAATCAATTGTGAAGTCAGCTTTCCCAGCTCATAAACATACCAATGTAATCTCTTGCGCGTCCGTTGGCAACCGCATGAATGATAGCATACAGCCCGCATGCATTATTAATCGTTTGTTTAAACCATATTACATCGTCATTTTTTGCTATTAAGTCGCTCTCTTGATCTAGACGAGCCTCATAATCAGAAGGGGTAGGGAACACAATGATCAAGGCAAGGACTGGGCGGGGCACGATTGAGAGGAGATCGGAGTCGTCTAGGGTCCAGACATCATGGAAGCTTAGCGCAGTTGAGACCCCTACTAGAGGGTCCACCTGTGGAGCACCCTCTTCGCTTACGCTCAGAGGGTCCCAAAAATCGTAACCAACCCAATAATCATAGACACCCCTCTGTCAGCCGACCACCAAATTTACTAGTAAAATTGACTTTTTAGTATTAAAACGCGTTTTTTTGAAGCAGCAATATTTAATTACTTGCAATCTAGCTACTTTTGAAGCTATTTATAATAGCTAATATTAATGTTTTAGTAAAACCTAAAGCATTAAAAACAGTTAAATAAGCTATAAACTGTTGCTTTATAGCTATTTATAACAATTAACTTTTATACTTTTTTAATTTTTAAACTTAGTTTTTATCGATTTAAGATGTTGCTAATTGTTTTAATTTATTTATTTTTTTAGTTGCAAAAAAAATAAAAGCTTTTTTAGAAAATAAGCTTAATTTAAAGTTAGTTAAACGGCGTAGCAAACTTTTTATTTTAACTGATTTTAAAAATAAAGTTTTAATTTTTTATATATGTTTTATAGCTAAAAAAGCTTTTTTAATTACTAAACTGCTTGTTTATACAGCAATAAATGATTTATTAGTATGTTATATACTTTTTAGCAAGCTTGTTAATAAAAATATAATTGTAAAACTTTAAAAAAACCGGTTTAAATTATATATTGCAAAAACTAATACTATTAATATAAAAAAGCTTTTTTTAAAATAATAAATCGAACTAATTAATAATTACTATATTTTATAAATCAATATAGTTAATAAGTTTAATATATAGCAAATAAATAATTAAAATGTTAACGAAACTAGTATATGTTTAAAATATTTAATAAATAATATAAAAGTAGTAATTATTTATATAAAAAAACAACTGCTTATATAAATAGCTAATTTTAATAATTGCAAAAGTAGTACTTATATAAATAAAAAGTTAGTTATAAATAAAGCTATTTTTATATATATAATTTTTAAAACTTAGTTTTATGTTTTTTAAGCTAGTTTTAATATTAACTTTAATATATAATTTATTTAATTAATAAACAGTTTTGCAACAAAAAAGATTTAATTAAATTATTTAAAATATTTTAACTTTTATTTTTTTGAGCAATTTTCTACTTTTTAAAAAAAAGCTGTACACTTTTGAACAAATAAGCAATAAACTTTATAAAAATAATTTAAAGTTAATAAATATTATATAATTTTTATAAACTTTAAAAATTTTTTAAAAACTTAAAGAAGCTATATAAAACAATATAATAAACAGCTTATTTAATATTTATTAATGCTTAA